TCCTGTAAGTGTTAAATTTTCTATGCCGTCTTTCCGCATGATGTGTACTAAAAAATTTAAAAAAATGTCACCTTTGGATGTTATCTTTGAGAATTACTTTGACTTTCATTTTCTCGACTTCCTCAATATAAAACAAAGCAGACAAATGACATGTCAAACGTGAGATAACACGGGAGTGTTGATTTACAACCTGTCCGACCAACAGGAGCTGAACACAAGCATTTCCTTTCAACATTATCATAACATTTTATATTATTTTTTTTTATTTCTTGCCATGAGAAATAAATATTGAAGATGTGAGAACAATTTGCATTTTATAAAACAAATAAAACAATCGGAATATCTACGATAACACGAAGGTTGTTGTCAGGGGGAAAAAAGACATCTAAATTGCTTTTCAAATGTGTACAGAGTAAATCATTTCGTTAGCAGCATTTGTACATCTATCTATTCCATTCAGTTTCTATCTATCTATCTATCTATCTATCTATCTATCTATCTATCTATCTATCTATCTATCTATCTCATTCTTTTCATAACTATCTATCTATTTATCTATCTCATTCTGTTCACATCTATCTATCTATCTATCTATCTATCTATCTATCTATCTATCTATCTCAGTTTCTTCATTATCTATCTATCTATCTATCTATCTATCTATCTATCTATCTATCTATCACATTCTGTTCATATCTATCTATCTATCTATCTATCTCATTCTTTTCATAACTATCTCATTCTTTTCATAACTATCTATCTATTTATCTATCTCATTCTGTTCACTTCTATCTATCTATCTATCTATCTATCTATCTATCTATCTATCTATCTATCTATCTATCTCAGTTTCTTCATTATCTATCTATCTATCTATCTATCTATCTATCTATCTATCACATTCTGTTCATATCTATTCATCTATCTATCTATCTATCTATCTATCTATCTATCTATCTATCTTATTTTGTTCATATCTATCTATCTATCTATCTATCTATCTATCTATCTATCTATCTATCTCAGTTTCTTCATTATCTATCTATCTATCTATCTATCTATCTATCTATCTATCGATCTATATGTCTCATTCTGTTCGTATCTATCTCGTTCTGTTTCTATCTATCTATCTATCTATCTATCTATCTATCTATCTATCTATCTATCTATCTATCTCAGTCTGTTCATTATCTATCTATCTATCTATCTATCTATCTATCTATCTATCTATCTCATTCTGTTCATATCTATCTATCTATCTATCTATCTATCTATTTATCTATCTATCTATCTATCTATGACCGCCTGCCAAAATGACCTGACGTATCATCGGAGGGGCGCTAACCTTGTATTCCGTGGTGGAACCAAAAAAGAAAAAAAAAGTTAATAAATTTGAAAACGTTGTGATTCCCCCATTGAAAGACAGGGATTAGTATTGATTTTCAAAGCATAAACAATACGGTTTCTATTTTTCCCGGGGGTGAAATAATTTTCTCTTCTCTCTCGCACAAATAGCGACGACACACACACCAGGACGATTCTACTGGAAAAGCACGAAGTTTGATGGATGCAAAACTGCGTTTATATTAAGAGATTAAATCTTCGAATCGTCGATGAGATCTATCTATCTATCTGTCTATCTATCTATTGGTTTAGTTCATTTTCTCGTTCTGTTTCTATCTATCTATCTATTGGTTTAGATCATTTTATCTCGTTCTGTTTCTATCTATCTATCTATCTATCTCGTTCTATTCAGATCTATCTATCTATCTATCTATCTCGTTATGTTCAGATCTATCTATCTATCTATCTATCTATCTATCTATCTCTTTAAGTCTGATCATTTCTATCTCTCTTTATTTCCTTATAAATACATAAAACAAAATAGTAATCTTAAACTTGGCGGAGCAATTTACTCCATAACCTGTAATGATTGTCACAAAGAGTATCATGGAGAAACCTCAAATATAACCTTAAATAAAATATATGAACACAAAAGAGATCTTTTCCAAAAATTATAATTAATACATTGCATGTTTACCTCAACGAGTCTGGCCATAATCTGATTAAAAGTTGTAAAAGAAAAACTTGTTTACTGAGATAAAAATGTATAGAAAATGCTTTAATCGCTAAATCATCCTCAGTAAATTTACATTTCTTACATCGTATCGCCTTTCTTGGTAAATCTTCTATCATCAGAGTGTAGGATATTTTTGTGGTGCTAACGTACACTCGTTGTCACTTTTGTAATGCTCCTTGTAGTAGAGACTTTGTAATCGCAGATACAAGTATAGTAACGCCGTTGAACAATGCTGGTGTCAGAGGCCTTCGAATATCTCTCACACTAATAGTTCTTGCTCGATAATACTCGCTCGAATAGTAATCGCCATCGGTCTTATAGTATTTCTCTTTATTTCTGAGATGAGGTACACTATTTATATTATTCGGACTATTGTCCTCATCTTTGTCGCCATATTTATTACAACGTTTCAGCCTTTCAGTATGTGTCTATATTTCTGAGATGAGGTATTATGTACACTATTTACATTATTCGGACTATTGTCCTCATCTTTGTCATCATGTTCATTACAACGTTTCGGCTGTTGTACGCTCCGGCCTTCTTCAGGTGGTTGGAATGTCGAACGGAACCCTTTATTTCGCTCACTGGGGTAGACTGTTCTAGTTCCACGTGCCATGTTTAATAGATGTCAGTTACCAGTTATCTCCTGTTAATTTCCTTCTGAAAGTTCTCACACTGAACTCACACCTTTTTTTTTATTGAACTCACGCTCTTTGGGTCCTGTCACTGGATCTAACCAACGCCTTTATCCACTGTGCCATGTGTCCTTGAGAACATCTGTGTATGAATTTCTGGATATTATAAACCTAATGTTTTCAGCAACCATTTTTTACCAGTGCTCATAATTCAATTTGCTATTATCCTTGCATGTCTTTTACCACCTGAAGAAGGTCGGAGCTTACAACTTTCTTATAACCATGGCGACAAAGATGAGAACAATAGTCCGAATAATGTAAATCGTGTTTCACGACACAATTTAAAAAAAACAAAACATCGTTGAAAAAAAAAAAGAACACTTCAGTTTTTTTATCCTTTCAGACAGGTAATTTTGGTTTTATTTTTCGTTTTTTTCTTTTTTACTGCTATATTTGAAATTGTGCATTCATTTTAAACATCACGCAGTAATCAAGGCAAGTGAAGCTTCCGCCATGACTACTCAAGACAAACGTATGTGAACAAAACTAGTAATGGCAGCCGTTCTGTCGAGGCGACGCGAAAGACGTCAAACTTACATTGTCCATAACTCCTAAAAGGTAATAGAACGCAAACTTTTAATGTCATTTTCGAAATAATCAGGTAATTTCACACCATAATGGAACATTTTCATTACTGTAGGCTTTTAGTGCTTATACTGGAAATTAACCAAGAAATAGTCTGTTTGGGCGACATGCATAATTCAAAAATACGCTTTTAAGTAAGCGCCTGAGGGGGTCGTCAGTGATGTTTCATCAGGGGGTTTCGGGTCTTTCAACATCATACTCCCTATCACCAAATCGACCCAATCAGGGGAGATCAATCCCTGATTCCCCCCTCTCAATCAAACGCTAACAGAATTAGACGAAGAGAGACCACATATTTCGCACATCCGATTGGATGTTTGTATCAACCAATCCGCTGCGCGAACTATCTTTTAAATGGCTCACGGTGGGGACTGGCTTCTTTTCTTATTTCGGTGGATTGCGGTTTCGATGGATGACCGAGAAAGTAATCTTAATGTCGCTAAGTTTTCCTTAATTATTGTATAGTTTAAATATTTGCCGTCTTTATTTTATTTGTACTTTTTTTTCCGGGCGGGAAACTAAAACTCAACCCTATTATCACATTTAATAGCTTAGCATGTTTCTTAACTTTACAGGTTAAATTTAAATGGATGTATTTGCAAAATTAAAATAATTCTCCATAAACATGGCGTATATTTTCCCTGTACACACAAAAAAATAAAATTAAAAAGAAGATACGATAAAAGTACAATAGGCACTATAATGCGGTGAATGTAGGATATCAATACAGAGATTTCAATCGGGTAAATAGAATTCACGTATTACTTTTTCTTTTTTTCTTTTTTTAAGTTTCACCTCTAGCAAGGCGGGAAGCCACTACGACGCAAGGGGTTACAGAAAGTTTAGAGCAAGATCAGATAGGAGTGATAGGGGAAATGATGAGGAGAAGGATAGTGGATAGATCAAGACAACTGGAGATATCGATTGACATTACATTTGAATAGTTGGAGATTATAGCTCTCAGGGGAAACTAGAATAGGGAAGGGAGTTCCACAGTCGAGAGGTGCGAGATATGAAGCTATTGGAGTAGAAGAGACGGCTACATTTAATAGTTTCGACAGTGAAAGGGTGAGAGCGGGATGCCAGCCTCGTCGGGTGCTTGAATTCATGAAGTCTGGGAACCAGCGAATGCAGCTCCTCGGAGCAATTGCCATGAAAGTATTTGTACTGTAGACGTGATGCCAGAACAGAGTTAATTATATTGCATATCCGTCTCTGGATCTTATCAAGAACCCCGAGGCAAACAGAAGGGGATCCAGACCATATATGGTAGCAATACTCCATGCAAGTGTACCTTAGAGTCAACGTATTGAATGTTCTTACAAAGAGTGGATTTAAATGAAGAGTTCATAACAACAGAATATCCAGATTAATGGATAATCTCATTGAAAGTTATCCATTAAGTAAATGCTACAGAGATCGAAGTTGGAGCTCGAGATATATTCATAATTCATGGATATGGTAAAACTGGTTAAAATCCACAGTTCCCATGGTTACGGCCTCATCTGTTCCTCTGGACAGATACAACGCAGTAGTTGACATTCGTCCTGTTCGGGTGCTTTGTTCCAACTACCAATTCTTGAATTTTGGCGCCTCGGCGTCTCTTAGTGATCACGTGATCCACCGCGGGGTTGACATATATGAAATCAAGGGTCAAGCGTCCGTCCACCGATGTCGCGAATGACGTAGAGAAATACGTCTCTTCATCGTCACCCTTCGCCCGCATGTAATTATACGCAAAGCAACTGGTCAGAGTGAAGGCGGAAAGGAAGGAAGGAAAGAAGGAAGGAAGAAAGAAAGAAAGAAAGAAAGAAAGACAGAAAGAAAGAAGGAAAAAATGTTCTTAACTATTAGATTAGTACATCTTCCTAAACCAAAAAAAAAAGCAATGAAGTTTATTTTTTAAAGATGAATAAAAAATTATTTTCCATAGAATGGCCGAAAAATATTAATAAGTCAATAACACACACACACATATACACATGATATTATTGTATTTTTTTAGTTTTAGCCGGACACACACACACACACACACACACACACACACACACACACACACACACACACACACACACACACGAATATTTGATAAAAATAAATATATAATTTTTTGTAAAAAAATTGTTTTTAATATTCTTCTTTTAAATTTACTTTGTTGTTTTATATTCATTTTTTAAAGTTACTTTTTTATTTATTATAGATGTGAAAATAAATTCAAGAAAACAGAAATTTTAAAAATACATACTTGGATAGCGTTTTGCAGAATAAAAAATAAGCAAAAACGAACGACTGAAACTATAAACGACAAATAAACAAAATATATATAGAGACCCAGTATCACCGAAGTCAGCATTTTGTAAAAAAAAAAAAAAATATCATCGTATGAATTGTATTTCGGAAGATATTTTAAAATCAAAATTCATTAGAATGCATTCGAAATTCTCAGAATTAAAAAGTAAAAACGAACGGTAATAATTCTTATTCCCGATTATTATTATTGCTGTTCGTTTTTACTTTTTTTTTATTCTGCTGATACTTTCAAAACGCACTCCAAGTATGTATTTTTAAAATTTATAATCTCTTGAATATATTTTCACATTTACAGTAAATAAAAGTGGATTGATCTAAGCCTTTGTAAGTGAAATTGGCTACACGGCACCTTTGGGGTCCGTTGATGGCTGTGCTAGCACGAAGTCATAAATCATCGTGACCGAGTGATTGAGCGTCCTGGCCTTGTTCATATTGTTGATAACACTAGATAATACGCTTTCTCCCAGAAACTGTAACTAAGGTCTGCACAGTTGCTGTACAAACCCCAGGTGGGATCTGCGGATGTTGAACAAACACAAAAAGTCTGAAATAAGGATTAGCTAGCCGACCTACTAGACAGGCATCCTCCAATATGAGTGGAGAGCCATGATATATATATATATATATATATATATATATATATATATATATAGAGAGAGAGAGAGACATAGATAGATATAAGCTATCATACATGCGTGCGATCACACGCATATATAAATTTGTAAATATATATTTTATATAATTTTTGGGTGTAAACAGAACATTGCTCAACGTCGTATTACAGAGCTATTAAGTATATATATATATATATATATATATATATATATATATATATATATATATATATATATATATATATATATATATATATATATATATATATATATATATATATATATACATATTACCTTACGGCGTAAATAACTCTGAGTTTCATGGTAAATAAAATCATTAGGTACTTGAATACGTGAAGATTGTATTTAACATGAAACTCAAAGTCCTACGTAAGGTAATACCTATATTTATTAATATATATATATATATATATATATATATATATATATATATATATATAAAAAAGAATGTATAAACATAAAATGTCTTAATATATATATATATATATATATATATATATATATAAAAGAATGTATAAACATAAAAATGTCTTATATACATATATATATATATATATATATAAAAGAATGTATAAACATAAAATGTCTATATATATATATATATATATATATATATATATATATATATAAAGAATGTATATATGTATAAACATAAAAACGTCTTAATATATATATATATTTAAAAGAATGTATAAACATAAAAATGTCTTAATATATATATATATATATATATATATATATATATATATATATAAACCGGATGTAACAGTAAAATTGTCCAAATCATGTTACACCATAATTGTCCGTCCCACAAAATGTTTAATATCTAAAAACCACTAAACAAATCGAGTTTGTTTTTCCAGGTTTTCAGATAAGACGTTTAGCCATCTTTACACCATTTGTGGTAAGAATCACTAAAAAAATGAGTTATTTAGCTACAATGAGAAGAGGTTAAAATCGTTTTGTATCAGCCACAGTGTCTTCCCAACTGAGCAATGTTGAGAGGAAAAATCATTAAGGCATTCAGTAATGGTACCAACCTTCTTACCCTGGCTTCCATCTTCAAAGTTAATTCAAGAACCATCAAGAGAACTGTGAATAAATTTTAAAAGAAGGAACAGTAGAGAGAAAAACTGGATCAGGAGATCAAAACAGGAAGAGGGATCATCATTTCAATTTAGAGTTAAATAGATCAATTAGAAAAGATCCAACTAAATCCATGAGACGTTTGGCACGTTTCAGCTATAACAGTTCAAAGAGCAGGGGAAAAAGTGTTGAAAACTAAATCGTACGTGAAACCTGTGAGGTATCTTGCTACTCCAGGATAGAAAGTTAGAAACTTAGAGAGGGCGAAGAACATCTGGAATAATTGAAAAAGAATCCTTGTATATATATATATATATATATATATTAAAAAGAAGAGGGGTGCCGCAAACGTTTTTGGTTGTAATGTGGATTTATTGAGAAAAAATATTATACTTTGTTTTACATAATTTCACGACACGTGTTACAAACACATACCAACATTCATACTCTGGCTTCCATTTTCAAAGTCCATCCAAGAAACATCCAGCATCCTTCTGTTGAACTGTCTTTCTGTTGTCCCAACTCTGTTCTTTTTCTGTGATGATATTGTCCAGCATTCACTACCATACAGGAGGGCTCATATTACATAACATTTCAGCACACTTTTCTTTGTTTCCAACGAGATTTTCCGGTGTTTTTTTTTCAGTGTTCGATGTATTTGCCTTCGCCTTTCTAACAAAGTGGGGTGCGAATAAAATCATAACATGAAGCTTGAATCTGAATTAATTAACGTTTTATTGATTCCAATAATTAGTCATTTGCTCGTCACCAGAGACCTCCGCTCGATATGTGGACCTTACATTCCTCCTGCGATGTGTGAGAGACTGCTCCAAAACTCCTGGCCTAGTTTATATATATATATATATATATATATATATATATATATATATATATATATATATATATATATATGTGTGTGTGTGTGTGTGTGTGTGTGTGTGTGTGTGTGTGTGTGTGTGTGTGTGTGAAAATATATAGAAAATATTCACAAATCCCTTTCATAAAAAAATAAAATAAATAAATAAATAAATCTCCATAGACACGCATACCAGACTAGGGTTAATACATCTTCCGTTTAAAATTTAGACACCCCCACCTTTCCCTAACTTGACATTTTATGAAAGTAACTCTATACTGATACTTATTATTAACACCCAACACACGCCTACCCAATTTAAACAATTCGCCCTAGCTGTTACCATGGAAATTTTCATTTCAATTATTAAAACACGTAAATTTCAGAAATACGTTATTCCCAAAAAAATTTCACTTGAAGATGGAACAGAGCTTACTTTAACTTAATTTAATTCAAATAATTATATTGAAGTTTTCGGCTCTTGTTTTGAAACATGAGACTTCTTATGTCGCGAGTTGGAATCATATTTTTAAATATATATATATATATATATATATATATATATATATATATATAATTGTGTATTTCCGACACCTACAAACGGGCTGTCACGTTCTTTACCATTCTGTGGTCAGGACGAACCACAGGTTAAAATTCTGATACGCCCGTATTCTTTGGTTTGTTCGGTAATTCGAATTCAATGTCTCTTCCTTGGTCATACCACACCTGGGATCGAAACCCGGCCACTAACACCTTCCGTTCGACCACTGAGCAAGACTATACAGTTTCTTAAGGCGGGTGTTAAAGTTCGAGCAGGGAGAATATGTAGCGTCAATCAATCTTACCTTAAAAATCGTGGCATATACGGAGGTTTGGTCAACCACCTGGTCACGTGGTCACTATTTTGTCTTAGAAAAAAATAATGCGTACGATTGTAAACTAGGAAAAAGGAAAAAAAAATAGCGTAGTTCCATTAAGGTGTGTGTATATCGCTCCAGAAATTACAATGTTATTTCAGTAAATTCCGAAGTTGGAATCATAAGACAGTCAATTTCAATCAATGAAAGCCGTTTTAAAATAAAATAATTTCACGTCGGCGATATAGAGGAAGAGAATGGTAATTTCGAAATTTTCAATCACGAGTGCTGAAAGAAATATGCAAAGTGAACTCTTATTCTTTGTTGGCTTCGTGTTGGAGGTTACGTTAAAAAAAATCAGGCCTACCGTTCCACTATTTCTTGTCTAATGGAGACCCAGGCCTTTCAAATAGATCTTGGAGTCTTTCTTCTTTTGTATGAGAATATTGGTAACGATTCGCTTTACTTGAAGAGAATAGAAGACTTAATTGCAACAATATTTTCAAAAGCAGGCCCCTTTCTTTCTTTCTTTCTTTCCTTCATTCATTCATTTATTCTTTCTTTCTTTCTTTTTTTCTTACTTTCTTTTATTTTTTCTTCCATTCCTTTATTCATTCTTTCTTTCATTCATTTATTCTTTCTTTCTTTTATTCTTTCATTATTTCTTTCTTTTTTCTTTCATTCTTTATTTATTTCATTCTTTTATTCTTTCGTTCTTTTATTCTTTCCTTCTTTTTTCTTTTATTCTTTCATTCTTTCTTTCTTTTTTCTTTCATTCTTTATTTATTTCATTCTTTCTTTCTTTCATTCTTTTATTCTTTCATTCTTTCTTTCATTCCTTTATTCTTTCATTCTTTTATTCTTTCTTTCGTTCTTTTATTCATTCCTTCTTTCTT